GATTCAGTGATAGCCCCGTACATTAACACGCTTAATTTTTTTTATAGCGAAACATGTAATTTAAGAGTTTCCACACTGTGCTACATGAACGTACCTCCATCAATAGAATGTCAAAATCAAGTATTTTTTTCCTCGATTTGTAACTCGTATCAGCCAGCATACAACAACACTGTTAACTAATATTAGCATTGAAATCTCAAATTTTCCTTATGCAACTCAAGAGCATACGTTAAAAATGCTATCTTGTCTATTCTTTTCAGAGCCTACAAAGGTTACAATCGGGTGAAAGATTTTCGAATAGTCAAGTCAGCGTCTGCACGCCAATTATGACTAGTAAGTACACAGATATGCTTGAATGTGTCAATATTTGTAACTTTCTAGAGGAAATTTTTTATTTGTTATGCTATTTTATGCACTTATAAGTTATTGTTGAAGCTTATTGGTTTTCGGAATTCCTGAACTGTTTTGCTAAACGTCCTTTTTCCTTAACATCAGCACATAGTTAACCCTTAGCCCATAGCTCTTGTCAGAACTATTAGATAAGGCGTAATTGAGAGAACTCAGTGCGATTCTCTTGTAAAGGACTATAATGTCAAAAAATATAAACAACGAAATATTTTTTTTTTCAATTTCACGTAGAGAGCCAGTTCGAAAACGCCCATTCTAAGAAAACATTCCAAGAATGCCCTACATCAGAATTTGATTGAATAATGCCCTATTTCAGAATTTGATTGAAAAACACCCTTTCTCAGAATTTGGTTGAAGAACGCCCTATCTCAGCTGCCGATTCAAAAACGCCCTATCTCAGAACATTTTCAATGTATTTTCAGCTGAGATAGGGCGTTTTTGAACCGAATTCTGAGATAGGCGGTTCTTCAAACAAATTCTGAGATATTGAGGCGTATCCTGGTTTTCGTACGAATCGAAAATTTCAAATTTTTGTATCGAAAATGATACGAAAATTTCGTGATTTTTGATTCGTACGAAAACAAGAATATGCCCCATTGTTTTTCAATAAAATTCTGAAAAAGGGCGTTCTTCAATCAAATTCTGAAGTAGGGCGTTCTTGAAAAGTTTTCTGAGGTAGGGCGTTTTGGAATTGGCTGCCGAGACAGGTCGATATTCTGCTCAGCTGTCGATATGTATTTCTTACGAGAGCGCTGTCAAAATCAATTATACTTTGTTAAATATCCTTTGATACCTTTTGATCAGAACCACATATCGCACACTTTCTTCAAAAGAGGCACAACTGAAATTTTGGAATTTTTTAAATTATGCGCTAAGAATGTACACAAGAGCTTTTATCTACCTTTCAGCAAAGGCTGGAGCAACTTTTTGTTATAATTTGTTAAAAAAAAAAACATAAGGTAAAGCCTCCCTTGCCCATATGATTATCATGTGCTAAGAAATAGTTTTTCGCATTTTCTGACACGTGTAATTTAGAGTTGTGCGCCTTTTGAAGACGTGTGCGATATGTATAATTTGTACGGACACACATAAACCAAAATTCTCCAGCGCATTCACCTTGGAACTCGCTACCTAGTATGTGTATGTTAAAGCGTCTGAGTAAAGATGTCCTCGACCAAGACTTTCGTTTCGCTCGGGACTAATTGAACTGCAATATTAAGATTTTAAACTATTGGAAACCGTCAGGAACCAAATTTAGGTCACTTCGGGCCGGTTGTTCAATGTCAGGTTAACAAAAATCGGAGGTAGAAGCTCCGGTGAAATACAGCGACTGCTTTATCGGTCACATTTTATATGCATGATGTCGAAAATGTCTATAACGATGTTAACTGGGAAGTAGTGATAACCAGACATTGAAAAACCGGCCCTTAGTATGTATATACATATTTTGTCAAAGTAGAGGTAATCAGTTATTGAATTTGTGCTGTTATTTATGGTAAGACCTAGGTTGCTTATGTCATCTATAAAATTTAAGCCATACGTTTGTACATATAGATTTCATTCGCACTCAGTTCACATAAAGCCTGCTATACGGTTCAATGCGAGCTTTTTATTTTGATCAATATCTTCGTTATTTCTAAACTTTTTGCAATAGTTGATACATGAAAAGATAGAGAATTAAAATATCTTTCAGATTTATAGAATAAAAACTAATTTAAAATGCATAATATGCCTTTTTTCAAGCTCACACTCAACTGTGTGCGTACGCAAAGCATTCGCATGTGAACGACAAGTTTTGACAGATGTGTGTGAGCGTCCATAAGAATACAAATGGAATTCTTTGCCTTTGCTAACTTTCACGCTCATGCTCGCATTGAACTGTATAGCAAGCTTTACTAAACATAATATTTTGGCCTACCTGATATACGAAAATCTGTGTTACGTTACCGTGGAAACACAATGCCGGCGAACGGCGAACTCCCCACAGCGAAATTACCGCTGTCCAAATTAGAACACCCGCCGGCATATGAAATTGAACACAGCCACAGCGAAATGCGAAGTTCGCTCGGCGGCGTTTCGTGGCGATAGATTTATTTCTATCGCTCTGCTGGGCGATGGCAGCAGTACATGCCAAAGGTGGCCGTATTTTTTTTTTACTTTCAAAGATTTAGAAGAAAACAGCATGTAACACGAATTATTTTTGATGGTTGAAAAATACAGTGAACGATTCGTTAAATCTGGCTTAAAATAAAATAATTTATTATAATTCCCCATTGCCTTATATTTATATTTGTTATCATTTCATCATTTCTAAATATGGTTTCGTTTTTCAAAATATGGTCACCTCACTTATAAGTGCGACGAAATGGTATCAGCTGTTTTCGCTACCGCTCTAATTCTGTTAAAGTTGGCGAAATAGCAGGGCGAACGGTGAACGACGGCATCGCCCAATTCGGCGCACTTCGCCGTCGCCGGGTATTGTGTTTCAAGCATTGCCGTAAGAAACTTAAGAAGCTGTGGATTTTAGATTCCTAAGTTTCGACGTTACGTAAATTCAGAGCAGTGAGAGAGCTCGGTTAGCCAGTTTTTTGTTAATTTTCGATGCTTTTTTTTGATAGGACATTTGTAGGCGGCGAGCAGTAAAACACCTAAAAAAATATATAATATGTAGTAAAAAAATTCTCGCATCTGGCTTAACACATTGACTGCCACGTCGGCCATATATGTGTGACACTGTACTATGCGGTTACGCCACGACTATTATTCTCTCTCGCCATGTCACACAGCAACGATTGAGGATAAATATGATTTTATTGCAATAATAAAATATATGGCTTCCCATGAAATTTCTGTTATAGTGGCTTCGGCGCAGCTCAAAAAACAATTGGAAAAAATTGGTTTTGAAAAAAAAAATTAAATTCATTTTATTGCAGTAACAAAAAATTTTTTACATATTATTTTTACAAAGTAGTTATACAAATGAACCCATTAAACTTGTTTGTGGTGATTCCCAAAACATTCTAAACACATGAATGGCTCTTGGGGACAATCCGGGCAATACGTGTATACTCTTTTAGCCTTCTTTCTGGCGAACTCCCTTCCTTCCATTTGTTTTATTCTGGAATAACATAAAGTACATGTTCGACGTAATTTTGTATTACTTGCACTTAGTTTTATTTTTAAAATATGAATATTGCCTGATTTTGGCTTCATATGTTTTTCTGGCTTCTGCAAATTTAGAAGTGATGAAGTAATTTGTTCTCTAAACCATCGTATTTGTGCATTATTTTTTTTCGTAGCTTTCTTGTACACTACAAAAGCATTTACTACTGATAGTCCAAGCAGATGTTCTATACCCAGTTTGCGGTACCACTTCACGCCCTTCCTCAAAGTAGTAGCATAAGAACAGTTCTGGTCTGATAAATCAATCCCTGCTTTTCCTTTGTTGTAAGCAAGTATGGCTATTGGCTTTTTCTTATTCTTCTTCGCCAAGCGACGTTTTGAGCCAGAGGTGTTACTGGTTGATGGTTGGTCAAGGTCAGAAGCTAATGCTTGTTCGCCATTATCTTGAGCTTCTTCTACCATTCTTGGACTGTGTTTTGTTGACAGAATCCGTACATCACGAGCATCGCGCCATTTCAGTACCACAATTCCATTTTGCTCTTCTCTATGAATTACCTGACCTTTTTCCAATTTGGCATCAAACACTTCTTTGGGCATATATTTTTTGTTTGCTCTTAGTGTACCCACAACGTGTGTATTTTGTCGTAAAAAGGAAAGTGCCAACTCATAGCTTGTATAGAAATTGTCAACGAACAGTGTTCTACCTTGATTTAGTAAGTCCTGCGAAAGTTCTTCGCAAACTGATCGTCCCAGGCCAAGATTTCTTGCGTAAACCTCTGACTTTCCTGAGTAAATCTTACTTGCCCATGTATATCCTTCTGTAGAACATAGCTTGAATAATTTTATGCCTTACTTATGGGCTTTGTTTGGAATATACTGTCGAAATACTAAGCGACCCCTCCAAGGAACAAGAGTCTCATCAATTACAAAATCCTCATCTGGGTATAAAGTTTCTTGGTATTTTTTTGCAACATATCTATAAGTGGTTGAACTTTTCCAGTCCTATCCCCTTTTGGAATGGTTTCATTGTTGGCGAAGTGTATATTTGCTAGTATTAACTCAAAACGGTTCCGCGGCATTACCTTGGGCGCTACATTGTTCTTATAAATTTCACTTGTACACCAGTATGATGGAATACTACCACATCGAACAAGACCCATCCATAATACAAGTCCCAAGAACTTTTTCATTTCATCGCTATTAGTTGGAGTCCATTTTTTCATTCGACTTTCGCGTTTCAATTCTTTTGCAATCAGTTGTTGCTCAGCGTATCTATTTGTTTCTAATACGATGAGGTTGATTATTTCATCGTCAATAAACAAACGAAAACCATCAAATGGGGTGACACTTTGTGGGACATCTACTTGTAGGCCTGATTTTCCCGAAAAAGTAAATGTTTTATGACGACCTTCGTATTCAGACCAGACAGCATTTATAATTTGGGGTTCACTTGCGACCCGATTTTCTTGTTCTTCATCGCTTTCTTCCCTATTCTCTTCTAGTGCTAGGCTTTCAAGAACTTCTTCTATATTATTTATGACTTCCTCATCTTCTTCACTTTCCGAAGAGTATGCAGTAGGATTATACATAGGATCCTTTACAGAGTCATCAGAGCTATAATCTTCATCTTCTTCACTTTCTGGAATTGCGAGTATTTTTTCTAACTCAGTATCTGATAAAAATTTTCTTTTCGACATTCCGTAACACAAATATTATCAACCAATATAACGCGATCAAGTCTTCTTGTTTACTGAGCATGTAATAAGCTTTGACTTGTTTCTGTTTGCAAAAATAACGGATTCAAACATCAAAATACATTGTCGTCATATAACGTTGTTTGGTGTTTGTTTGCAAAAACAACATACTCCCAATTGTTTTGTTTTTGCAAAATGAAGTAGAGCTTGTATGACGACGATGTATTTTGATGTTTAGCCAATGTTTTTGTCGTGCATATATGTCCGCCATGGCCCTGAGTTAAAAAAAGTCGGTAGGCGCCACGTCGAACATATGTGTGTGACATACTAATTAGTTAAAAACTGCTTGTTTCTAAGCAGAAAATATTACCAGCACTACCCTAAATTCCAATTTTGACGTCTCTGATGAGATTTAAAAAAAAAAATGCTGTGGCCCCAGAACATCTTATTTGCTGAAAGTGCCTTGGCAGTCAATACATACATACATAAATATAATCTCAATCAAAGCTCTTGTGATAATTACTTTGAAGTTTAAGTTTTTGAAGGAGACGTACGTAGTTGGTGTTAATAGTTTTTATTTTCCATATTTTTAAATTTAATATCTCTAAACGTTAATGAGTAAAATTGACTTTTCATTCCGTATACATTTGTCGTAAGTAGCTTTTACTCACCACTTTGTTTTGTCCATAGAACATACGACAATACTAAAGTATTCTTTTTTAACGATGATAATTTGATGAAAAAACCAGATATATTTTTTTAAATTTTATGCTTTATAAAAACAAAAAAAACAATACTTAAATTCAGTATTTTGTACATTTTCATTTCATTCATTTCATTGGAGACTCAGTGCAAGTTAAATAAAAAAAAGAAGTTATTTAGTTTAATTCCCTATTTTAATTGTGTCGCAATAGCAGAGGACCATCGAATTGTCGTAAGTTCGAAGTTTTGCGATACATACGACAAATGTCTTGTGATTAAAAAAAGATTACATTTGTATGGGAATTTGTCGTACATATCAGGGTTGTTGCGAATATTCGCATTCGCAACCGCGGAGCTTCCGTATTAATTTTAATATTCGCATTCGCTTTCGCATTCGCAATAATCAATGCGGATCTTTTGCGAATGCGAATATTGAAGGGACCGAAAATAACAGTTTTTTTTTTACAGATAAACTTGGCCAAATATTTTTTATTTCCAATTAAAAGTCTTTTCCGGATAATAAACAAACCTCTTATCCAAATTAAACAAGTTTGGTACCAAATGAAGGAAATGGCTAAACGAGCAAAGCCACCCATTGAAAAATACATATTTCAATAAAATAAAAAATGTTAATTAATTACCATAGATCAAACCTTGGGTCTGGTATATGAATTTCTGTAGTATTAAATGATAAAAAATACAAATAGAGGTGGTAACCTTCTTTCGTTATGTCTGCTTAAAAGCTATTTCAGTCACAGAAGAAAGGATGAAAAATGAATTACAAAAACAAAATCGAAAAACGCTGTTGACCTTACATGTTCTCCAAATTCAGAAACAACCAAAAGAATGAGAATGAAGAATTCCTTGGAAATCGACGGTGTTTAAACAACGATCTTGCCATAATGCAAGATTGTGAAGATGGAAGTCAGGAGGATACATCCGACATTTGCAGCCCGATGCAATTCTCAAAAAAGAATTATTGCACCGCAATAAAAAAAATAAATATAACTGAAAGACCTCTCAACTGGTGCAGTGTCAATCGAAAATAATTTACAATTTTGGCAAGTTTAAAGTTTTTTAAGTTTGTCGCCTCGAGCGAGTAGTTATTTAGTGGCGCAGGTTTGATTTACGACCCTTAAAAACATTTTATACCCGAGCGCACTTGTGCACAAGATGGGATTCTGATATAAAAATCCACCTAAGCTTTAACTGTCATCAGTGATATTAATGTTACCTCATATAATATAAGTCCCAGATGGTTTCTAAAATCACAAATTAGTTTTTGTGCAAATTGCAGATAGAGGGTATTAATGAATTCAAGCCCTCGATATTTCACATTTTTATATTTGTAAGTTATTGGAAGCAGGGATGCCAACTTAGCTCAAACCGTGCCATTTGTTCCTATTTTACTTCAAATGGCACTTAATTTTTCAATTTGGCGCAAAATGCCAAAATGGCACTTTTGTAAAAAAAATAACATTTCAATACAGTTTTGTGAAATCCTTTGCGTGCACTTCTTTTTCTCAACTAAAATTTTCTAATTTATAAAGGCTTTTCGACTGGTTTATCTTATTTTATCATTGCACTTTTGTTTTGAAAATGTGGCTTTATTTTATTGCTAAATGTGAATGATTAAAAGGAATTACACCTTTTTTGGCACTTTTATTTTTCTATTTGGAACATTTTGGTACTTTTTTTATCCTCAATATGGCACCTCATAACTAAGGAGAGTTGGCAGCCCTGATTGGAAGATTTCTGCTGTGTTTTGAAGCAACAACTTGTCTGCAGTAAAAAAGCATATAATTTGTGTTTCAAAAGTGTGTGAAAACCAATCAGTTAACTTATATGATCTCGGTTCCGATATTAAATAATCAATAGTTGTTTATACCCGCATTTTGGCACATTGGCTCGTTGAATTGCCATCTAATAAGTAGTGTCGTCGTTCTCCTTAGCTGCTTTTAAATGACTGCTGGCGGAGGCATAAATACAGTGTAAGAAAATTCTTTTTTTATAATTGTTTCCTTATAGAAAAGTTGGGTTCTTTTCCACCTTAGACATTCCGAATTCGTTCAAAACATGCTAATTTAAAACACAGAATTCTTTCAGTGCTCCTCCGGGGTTTTTGGACATGGACTGTTTCTTCAATTTAATAGTGTTCGCTTTATTTTTGTAGAAACGAAAAATGTTTTGCAAGTTATGGATCATTTCTCCACTCTTTTTTCAAATATTTCTCATATTCCAGCTGTGCGCAGGCGTTTAGTTTTTCGCATCGTGTTTTTACATATTCGTAATTAAAATTTTTTTTTAATAGAATCACTTGGTGGTAGTTCATGATTGTGTGTGGATTAATATCACAACACTGAGGATTTGGCAAAAGCCTTTTTCTTCTATTAAAAAACAACACTTACGGGGCAATGTTTATTGTAAGAACAACATTTTTTTCTATGAATCGACATACTTTAAGCATTGTTGACGCTATTTCCATTTGAATGAGGAAATAGCGTCAATGACTTTATTTCCAAATTTTTGTTGACTTTATTTCGCTTTTGAAAAGGTAATAATGTCAATTGACTTTATTTCGCACCAGGGTGGGAAATAAAGTCAATTGACCTTATTACCTGTCACCTAATATTTACGACTTCATAAGCATAATTTAATCCTGCTTTTCAAATGTAAAGTTGACGTTAGAAAAAGTGGTAAAATACAGAAAGCAGTTTTATGAAGATTGCAGACGGACGATACTAATTATAATCTCCGATATATTTTGATTTAGTTTTTTTATCCGAACGTTTGATATTTTATGCGCGCAATGATCATTCCAGTTGCATGCCTCA